CAAAGGTAACTGATACTATTGTACTCCGTACTTGGTACGGAATCGGAGTACGTAGTTTTATTGCAGGCTCGAAGACACATCAATTGACGCAAGGGGACATCTTCTCTCGCCTAGGGAGGAACTACTTTGGATAGAATGCCATATGATACCCCCATACTGCTGGGACAAGAAGAAGGATGATGGACGTGAGCCACTTGAGGTGACTGTTTGATGTCGAGTCCCACGAATCTCTCGGCTCCCCTGTTGCTCCTGCATACAACTTCACTGTCGCCATTTTCTTCCTCTGCCATCCAAGCACTGCCAGAAACAGATGCCAGTACCTAAACCCTGGCCAATGTATGTCGAGAACTTCAATAACAGTATCTCTATGGCACTGCCAGAGCAGAAAGTCACTTAGCCGGCAGACGCCAGACGTCCGGATTAGAACATCCAAAGGGGGATCATTGCAGATATCCATGTTGTTATCAATTGTCTCGGCTGTGATCTTTCCCTTCCCCCCATTTTTTGGCGACTCGTTATAGTTTCGCACCGTCATTTCTATCGCTCTTGCCATTTCATCGCGAGAAGTATAGGAGAAACAAACGTTGAACGTTCCCTCGTCATAATCCGCGGTCTTCTCGACCAATTTTTCAATAAGTTTTCTGATTTTTTCGGGGAGCAGTTCCAAGCGACCGAGTACCCGAAACCGGATCTTGCGTTTATTGGGAGAAGGAGATAAATACTTTTGAATCCAAGTCTCAAATATGTCCATTAAATCATCCACCTGCTCTTTTGGCCGCTTGAAGTTCTCGATGCTGAATAAATATGCAGTAACGCATTCGATGCCGATATCAAAGAAAAGATCCAAGATCTAAAGTAGCAAATAAGTCGATATTCACGTAAGGTGCAGGTAATATACATTAAATCGTCCAGATTCTTCGCCCCCATCTGATGGCCGCTTTTTACATTAAGCTCACTAGATTTGGCCCATCGTCTGTTCCCATCTGCAATAATGGCAATATGTTTGGGAACAGGACCCTGTTGAACAATGTTCATCAGTAGGTTTAAAACAAATTGTGAACTCAATTGGTTCTGTAGTAGCTGAGCCAATGGCATGTTGACAGATAGCAGTTGGGCTGACAGGTGGTAAAAGCGAGTGTGGTTGGCTTTTCTAGGTCAAGTTGACAATGACAGCCGGTGGTATTTATTTGTCCGAACGCTCCAAAGCGAAGTAACTAGTAGATCCATCAAGCTGCGGGTGATGGCACCCGAGCTGGCGTCCATGGTGGAGTCCTCGGCCCATAGTACAATTTCATGGCAGGGGGTGGCCAGCAAAACAAACAAGAAATATACCAATCAAATAACGATATAGATTCGAAGCGAACTTTCTCGCTTCCATGGACACGTGTCCGCCCTGGGAATCCTGTGGTACAGAGCATATCGAGTGAGCTAGAGGCCGCGGTGATCGTAAGTATGGTTACACTCCATTTCGCATGTATACGCATCACAATACTAGCTAGCTAGCTAGGTCGATTATCAATCAGGCAATAGTAACACCCTTTCCACTCGTTTTATGATATCAACGGTCTCCACGGAGATACCTCGATCTCGACCTTCCCTTGATGAAACTTTTCTGCTTTCTCCAGGACGCTGGCCAGGCGGATAGCCAGCTATTACCACCAAAAAGCAGCTATCTTCCAGCAGAAGTGCTCAGGGATGCCGTTCCCTAGCAGGCTCAAGCTCCTCTTCCGAGCGAGCCGTCCAACATACTGGACAACAACTTTGATATTCTATCTCATCGGACTTTTACAGGCAGGCTCATACCCCCAGTCTGTCCCAGAGATCATGCTCGCTGTTGCATTCTCAGCACCTCTATGTCTAAGTAAGTAAATGTTAGTCATGATTAAGTTCTACCAGGCAGGTAGTTGACAAGGAAAGTCGTGATGGGCGGAAGTGATATCCATGACTATGAATCAGATATAAAAAAACCCTCGGAAGGGCCAGTCCTGGCTAGATGGCCGCTCTGTCGAGAAAGCAGATCATGCCTTCGTCCTACAGGCCTGCAAAGTTGCGACAATCGGTGTCATTCTACTCGCAATACCCGCATCTCTCCAGATTCCTCAGACCATGACCTATGTTTTGATAGCCCTTGGTGCTTCGTGGGCATATACCACTCCTCCAATTCGACTCAAAGGGCGGCCATTCCTGGACTCAATTTGTGCTGGAACGCTCTATTGGTCAATCTGGGCCAGCGGCTTTTGTTTAAGGGATGGTGAAGGAAGCACTAGCTTACAGGGCTCGAATCCGAGTGTTTGGATTTTCTTCTTCTGCGCCGGCTTGCAGATGTTTACTGCAGTTCTTGATCAGAAGGCAGACTCTGCCGCTAGTATTCGAACAATAGCAACAGCCTGCGGTGAACGGATGGCTGCCTTTTTAACGGCGATAACCTTGTAAGCTATCCCTTTCCCATTTTACATACTAGGCATGTGGAAATGATAAAGTGACACTTCTCTGGTTTAGCTTCATAGCAGCCGTCTCAATGGGTTTATGAACGGCTCTAGGCGCTGGTACCTTTGTGCTTTCGCTTCTATCGCTAGGCATTGTTATAGCGCCTGATAAAATAATCCCGGCAGCCTATCACATTGTTCCGGTTCTAGCTACCTTGAGCGTTGGGTGGGGGGCATATGGAATCTATAATGTCCATCGGGGGAGACCTATTGTCTGGTGAATAAGAATAATTAATAGGACTAATGCTTCAGCCTCTTCTACGCTCGAATACCTAGCGATCCCCATCCCAATCCTAATGATAGGGTCCTTATTCTTATCAGCTCTCAGCTTATATTGGTAGAGTCTCAGGTACCTATCAATTATCAACTGACTTCATTGGTAAATATTCATCTGTAGCCACCGGCTGAAGCTAAGTAAACAAGTAAATGCTATAGCTTCCTTTTATTCTTCTCCCTGACGCCATTTAAGCCAACCAACCCACCTCCTGGCTGCCATACGTCTTTGAAAACCCTCAACCTGCCAGCTCCGAATAATGATAATACAAGGAAACAAACAGCAAGGGTGCTGTACAAGGAACAAAGGAAGTGTAGAGGTGTAAGAGATCTGTCTGTCAATGAAACTCTGGGTGATTTGATGGGTTAGTGCCAAGAGTATGCTTGCTTAGTATCTGCCATTGTTTCATAACTTAAGAGTGGGGGGGGGGGGGGGTCATAGGGAGTATAGAAAGATAAAGGAGGTGTAGCATTTTGTATCGCGGATATCAGAAAGAAATAATAGAGCAGGGATTTAGTATGGTGTTGGATCCCGAGGTTGGAGCACGGTGTGTTTCCTGTGTTGCAATACACAGACCAGCTCCAGCTCCAAAGGAGAGTTAGGGATAACTTCCGTCACTGTAGCTCTGTGTGCGGGACCATATGTATGGCCTTGTTGTCTTCTATAGTGGCTTGAGAGAAATGGACCTTCTTCTCAGCACAGTTAGGCAACCTTGTTAGTTCGGATACAAATGAGTGACCCCAGAATGCACTATCAGAGCCATATTAGCTTTTACAATCTGTAAGAGTAATTGGGGGTTGAGTATACGAACCTTGTGTACTTGTTAATATATCTCTCCAACTTGGTATAGTTCAGCTTCCGCTTCTCCGGGCTCATGGTGACGGCTTCTTTGTAAGCTGCAGCCAGCTCCTCGGTATTCCAGGGGTTGATTATCAGGCTGCCATTAAGGCTTTGGGCAGCACCGGCAAATTCTGATAGAATGAGTACGCCATTGCGATCCCGCTGAGTAGCAATGTATTCGTATGATACAAGGTTCATTCCATCTCTAGTTGAGGAAACGATGCAAACATCAGAGACAGCATATAAAGCAATGAGCTCGTCAAAGTTGACTGATTTATGCAAGAAGTGTATTGGCATAAACTCGACAGTTCCTGGAAGTATTCGTTGGTTAGGCAGCGGTTTGGTAGCCAGCAGTAACTTTTTGAGAGTACGTACCAAATCTCCCGTTTATCCGCCCTACGAGCTCGTTTACGACAGCTCTGAGGTTCTGGTACTCTTCAACATCCTGCCTACTTGGGACAGCAACTTGAACCAGTACAACCTTTCCAATCCACTCTGGATGGTCGGTTAAAAACACTTCAAAAGCATGAAGCTTCTGGGGCACTCCCTTGATGTAGTCTAGCCTGTCCACGCCAACCATCAACTTGACACCCTGAAACTTTTGCTGAAGCGCAGCTATCCGCTTTTGTACTTTTTCCCGTTTTAGTCCCTCTGTGAACTTTTCGGGGTCTATACCGATTGGGAATGCTCCGACCGTTACAATCTTCCCAAGGAACTCTACTCCGTTAGGTGTGGTCGGTAGACCCCTGACATATAATAGTTAGCAAGTAACAGTGAGGCCGTGAAGAAGTATAAGAAGAAATGACTAACAGTATTCGCGAGCAACTACTTAGGAAGTGACGGGCGTAGTCGTATGTGTGGAAACCTATGAGATCACAGTGAAGGACCCCGAGCAAGAGCTCGTTCCTGACAGGCAAGATTCGATATATCTCGCTACTCGGAAACGGCGTATGTAGGAAGAAGCCGATCTTGACATCCTTCTTGCTATCTCCAATCTCTTCCCGCAACATCGAAGGTAGGAGCATCAGATGGTAGTCATGTACCCACACCAGGTCACCGTCCTTGACATCTCTTGCGATTGCCTGGGCGAACAATCGGTTTGCTTCCTGGTACGCCTCCCACGCAGACTCGTCGAAGGTAATATCTCCCGGGTGGTAGTGGAAAAGAGGCCATAATATCGAGTCTATATCACCCCGCAATCGACTTGTCAGCACATAGTTTGCTACCAGTTCTACGGCAATAATCTAAATGAAAAAAAAAGGGGGGATGGTAAAAAAAAGAGAAGTAAGACCAACGAGAGCTTTTTACGTACTGGAGAAGCCGTTGTAGTGTCTATCTGCCAGATCGTTGTCGATAAAGACCGGAACAGCATTATAGTCCTCCTTCAGCTTCTTCTTGAATATATCGACCTCGTCGAACGGCACCTCCAGGCCCGGCCACCCATACCACTGAAACTTCGTTGTCTTGGACAGGCCGCTGAGGCCGCTCACGAGACCCCCCGAGGACATGGAGGACTCATATTTGCCCTGGCTGGAGCGGGAGATGGTGATGGGCAGCCGATTTGAGACCAGCAGCAGCCTCGACTCCGCGCCGCTCTCTATTGCCGGCATGGCTGTGTGTGGTTGTGCTGTGGGCGGACTTGGAGCGTGGGGGGCGGGCTGGTGAAGAAGTTGCTGTGGATGTATGTATCTGTTCACGCGATACCTTGCACTTTCCGGCGGGCAGGGCGAGGGTTCAGGACCGACGGGCAGCGACGGAGACGGGGGCAGAGCAGGACGGTCGAAGCGGGCGATGCTTGGGCGCACTCAACGGGGTTTCGAGAGTCGTGTCAACGCATAAGGGGAGCAGGACGACGGCGGGCAGGCGGGCAGACGGCGCTCTTCTCTCGTCAGGGAGAGCTTGCTTGTCTTCTTCCTCACGTCACGGCCCGGAACAGGGCGAGCAGACGAGCCACCTCCGGGGGAGCTAAAAATAAGAGCCGGCGGGGACGAAGCAGGGAAGAAGAAGAAGCAACTTCTGTGACGCCACCAGCTTGGCGGGCAGCAGGACGGCGAGACAGAGCTCGAGGAACGGCGGCGGCGAGGACGAGCAGGCGCAAGAGGGACGGGACAGACGGGCTGGCTGGAGCTGGAGATGGTCGAGGGCTGGGACGGTACCGCAGTAGCGAGCTCGTCTACGAAGCAGTCCAGCGAGTTAACTAACTAGTTACTGATGCCGGCGAGCAGGACGTCTGGACGATACCTACGACGACGAGGCAGACGGACGGCCGACGAAGCTCCTTTTGAGGCTGATATAGGTTAACGATAGGCGCAGTATGCGAGGCAGCAGCAGAGCTAGTTAGCTGGTTCTAGCCTGGCAGCGGAGGCAAAGGCTGGTGGTTCAGATACATATATATGCAGGGACACCACCGTCAGCGGCATCAGCGTCACCACGGAGTCAACTGCTGGATATCTGACAGCCCTCGCTACGGCACATTCCGATGAGCTTGAACAGTCCTTCCGCAGCGCTAGAAATCAGCCCGGGAGTCAGACTTGCACCATTTATTTGCTCCGCTCGAATTGCTCGTATAGTTAACTAACTACAGCAAGAAAAAGTCTGCGGGTTTGCTGCTGGGTTTGCTCTTTACGCCTAAATAGCAGTTGCATCAGCACTCCTTGCTTGCTTGCTTGCTGGCTGTTCCCGGTGCTACGTGAGTGACAGGCAGGGAGCCTCGGAGGCAACGGGGATGGTTTCATTTTGAGGGTTCGAGATGCGGCTATTTATTTGTTGACAGAAACAAGCGCTTGCTTGCCACCTGGGGATTTTTGATTCCATGGTTAGACGTGAAGCAACAGGCTCGCAATCCCCCCCGCCACTGATACATATATACATCGAGATGGGTTGGTTGATAATAGCTAGTGATGGTCCAATTCCTCTCACAAGGCCGCTGTTTTACTGCTACAAGACCATCGGCCCGTTTGTTCATCGCTGGTCACCTTTCCTTCGTGCTCCAGTTTGTTCAGGACCTGTATCACTCCGTGCGAAGCAGGAAGATGCAAGCTCTCCGGCACCGCAGCATAGATAACTTTGACCAGCTCAATGGGCGTCCAGCCGGAAGGTTTCGTGTCACCGGGCTGGCTGCTATCGAGCGAACCGTACTTTAACACCCGCAGAATTTCCTCTTCCCTCTGCTGCCGGTGCCGGATATACTCTGCTATCTTGGACTTGCAGTTCTCAATCACCGGGCCGTGGCCAGGGTATCCTCTGGCACTAACACTGGCTTTATCTCCCATCTTCTCCAGGCTGGCCATATATGTCTTTAACTCTTCAAAGACCGCCGTTCCCTGGCCCAGGACATCTTCATGTAGACGAGGCAGGTCAGCTACGTAGTTGTGTAGCAGAGACAGCTATACTCACTATCACCAGTAAACATGGCTTCCTCCTCCTCCATCAAAAACACAATGTGGTCTCTCGTGTGCCCAGGCGTATGCAGTGCCTTCACTGTTGCTCCCACCACACTAAACACCTGCCCATCTTCAATACCGCATTGCTCCTCGTCTTTCTCTGGATCATGCTTATACACCTGCACATCAGGGCATATCCGTCTCAGGTCCCGTACACCCCCGACATGATCGTGGTGCCAATGTGTTAGCAGAGCGTGGGAAATAGTGGCCCGTTCACTGGTGAGTGTTTGCTGCAACGCCACTGACCACGATGGCTTGCCTTCCCCCGTATCGATGAGGAGGCGTTTAGCTCCACGGCCAAGTAGATAGGTATTTGTTCCTGGTTACGCAGTGTTTATTGTTGGTTTTTCCTGCATCATGCATCACTGTGACTGCAAGACGGGCGTGCATACCTTGGAGTGTGAACTGGGGACACGGGTTACTCTATTGGCACCAATTATTGGCAAGTGAACGGACGTACCTTGCCAGGATTCCCCCCTAGAATCCTTATCACAGAGGCACTGAGCCTCTCTACCTCTGCGAGGGGCACCAGTTGCGTTGCCATTAGCCGGTGTAAGCGTGCGCCGTTCTCCCTAGTGGATATGATAAATGGGTATACTGCTTGCCAATTTCAGGGGTATATATATCTTAGCAGATGGAATAGATAGATGGAAACTTGTTCTCTTGATATATACCTAATGAAAGTCCGGATATCCGTCTATCATAATCCTTTGGTGGTTTTTTCCCAAACACTGGAGGCTGAAGCGGCTTCAATAGCACTTTTACCTCGGCTGAATTACCATACTTAGTAAGCACTCGAGTTCAGACGAAAGGAACCGAAGAGCTGAAGGATTGGATGAAAAAAAAAGGAACCTGAATGATTATTCAAGTATTATATATACACATGCAGGCAAGCAACATGATCTTTGGCTTTTGAGATAAGGTAGGACAAGCAAGTTGACAAAATGAAAATACAGCCAATGTGCAACTGCTGGTGATTACCTCCATTTCATCATCAATGGGACATGAACAAAAGCATCAGCTCGACAAAAGAGGCGCAAGGGGGTGTATTTGGTACATAGGAAAAAAGAGACAAAAATAGACCACATAGAACCAACAGGCGAAGAAGAACGAAGAAGTGCGGTAAACAGCAAAGGTAATATGAAAATCCCTCTCAATCCTCTATTGGCTGAAAATAAGACAACATTAGGCTTAAGTCAAGGGGGAGAACTGTTTACTGAGCCTTCTTGGCCATGGTGTTCAAGGCGCTTCCGTTCTTGAACCATTCGATCTGGCTCTCGTTGAAGGTGTGGGAGAGCTTGACGTCGAAGGAAGCACCATCCTTGGGGTGGACACGGAGAGTCATTGGCTTGCCAACGGCGAGCTCAGTGCACATCAAGTCAACCATGGCAGTTGGTGGGATACGGTCGTAGTCAGCGGGATCAGCGAAGGTAAGGGGAAGCATTCCCTGCTTCTTAAGGTTGGTCTCGTGGATACGGGCGAAGGAGCGGGTGATGATGGCCATGCCGCCGAGATGGCGGGGCTGGAGAGCAGCGTGTTCACGGGAAGAACCTTCTCCGTAGTTCCAGTCACCAATGACAACCCATGGGATGCCGCGGGCCTTGTAGGCACGGGCGGTAGCAGGGACGGAGTCATATTCGCCAGTCTCGAAGTTCTTTACGCTGTTGCGCTCACCGTTTTCGGCGTTGACAGCACCGATGAGAAGGTTGTTGGAGATGTTGTCAAGATGGCCACGGTACTTGAGCCAGGGACCGGCCACTATAACGGGATTAGCAATTTATTTTATAATATTACGGAAGTTGTTACTGAGATCAAGAAAACTTACTGGAAATATGGTCAGTGGTGGTCTTGCCCTCACACTTAATGAGAATTGGAATGCCCTTGGCGTCCTTTCCATCCCAAGCCTTGAATGGCTCAAGGATCTGGAGACGGTCACTGCTTGGGCTGACGGCAACGCTGATGGAAGCACGGTCAGCTGGAGGAGCCTGGTAGGTGTCACGGCCTGGGTCGTAGCCATTGGCTGGCAGACCCTCGCCCGTTGGGGGAGCGAGCATGAACTCGTTTCCGTCCTTGTCCTTAAGCTTATCGGTCAATGGGTTAAAGTTGAGGGTACCGGCGATGGTGAGAGCAACAACGAGGTCGGGAGAAGTGACGAAGGCGTGGGTGGCAGGGTTGGCATCGTTACGGCCAGTGAAGTTACGGTTGTAAGAGGAGATGATAGAGTTGGCTTCGTTCTTCTTGACGTCCTTACGATCCCACTGGCCAATGCAAGGACCACAGGCGTTGGCAAGGATAACACCGCCGAACTCCTCGAGGGTCTTGAGCTGACCGTCACGCTCGATGGTGGCACGAATCTGCTCAGATCCGGGGGTCACAGTGAAGAGAGACTTGGCCTTGATGCCGTGGTTGAGAGCATCACGGGCAATGGAAGCAGCGCGGGACATATCCTCGTAGGAGGAGTTGGTGCAAGATCCGATAAGACCGACCTTGAGTTCAGAGGGCCAGTTGTTTTCCTTAACGGCCTCCTTGAACTTGGAGATGGGGGTAGCAAGGTCGGGGGTGAAAGGACCGTTGATGTGTGGCTCTAGCTCGCTGAGGTTGATTTCGATGAGCTGGTCATACTGGGCGTTCTCGTCAGGGCGGAGTCCCTCGGCGTAGACGCGAGAGAAGTCACCAATGGACTGACGCCTGGTAGCCTTGAGGTAATCGTACATGCGGTCGTTGAAGGGGAAGACGGAGGTGGTAGCACCAATTTCTGCACCCATGTTACAGATGGTACCCATACCAGTGCAGGAGAGAGAGTTGACACCATCACCGTGGTACTCAATGATGGCACCAGTGCCACCCTTGACGGTGAGAATACCAGCAACCTTGAGGATGATATCTATGCGACAGTCAGATGCTGAAGATCAACTTTTGTTAAGCTATAGAAAGAAAACCTACCCTTGGGAGCGGTCCAGCCAGACATTTGACCAGTGAGCTTGACACCAATGACGTTGGGGGCCTTCAATTCCCAGGGAAGACCAGCCATGACGTCGACAGCATCAGCACCACCAACACCGATAGCAGCCATACCAAGACCACCACCATTAGGAGTGTGAGAATCAGTACCGATCATCAAACCACCAGGGAAACAGTAGTTCTCGAGCAAGATCTGGTGGATAATACCGGATCCGGGCTTCCAGAAACCGATGTTGTACTTGGCACAAGAGGTGGACAGGAAGTCGTAGACCTCCTTGTTGATCTCGTTGGCACGGGCAAGATCCTTGTCACCACCGAGCTGGGCCTCAATCAAGTGGTCACAGTGGACGGTGGCAGGAGTAGCGACCGATGGCATGCCAGCAGACATGAACTGAAGGATGGCCATCTGAGCGGTGGCGTCCTGGCAGGCAACACGGTCTGGGCGGAGCTTGAGGTAGGACTTTCCACGCTCAATCTCCTGGCCATGAGGGTCGTCAAGATGGGAGTAGAGAATCTTCTCGGCAAAGGTGAGTGGGCGGTTAAGACGAGCGCGCACAATGTCGAGGTTCTCGGCCATTTTCCTATTACCCAATGCGGTTAATATGACGCTCAAGCTAGAATTTCGCCTCCGCGATTCAATGCATACTTGTAGTTGATGTAGTTGCCCTATAGCTGTCAATTAGCCCCTAGCCGCTCCAAAACCGTTTCAATTGAAGTATTTACCTTCTCCCAGTTGGTCATCTCGACCTTCTTGTCAAGGTCAGCGGCAGAGGCAAAACCCCGCGCTCCGAGAAGCTATACAGACACGACCAGCGGTTAGAAAGCGTCACGATTGAAGCCAGGAACAGGCTGACAACACTTACGAGGCGGGTTTTTGGTGCCTACAAAGAAGATGGTTAGCATTTGGCTGGAATAACGGGCGTGAGGAAGAAGGGCAAAAAAAGGACGCACCATGGCACTGGCACGAGCGAGTGTGGTGAGCATGATGAGAGTCGATGTTCCAGCACGACTTAAGAAATCAGGGTAGAGTCATCCACCGTCGAGGCCGCACTCGAACAATGGCGCTGGTTATATAGAGTGGAGTGGTCTGGCGAAAGGGAGTTGGTGAAGAGAAAGGAAGAAGAAGAGAAAAAGCAGAAGATGTCGCAGAAGTTGAGGTTTAAAGTAGCCGGGAAGAAGGTCATAACACTGGCCAATCAGCGAGCTGCCAAATTGCTGTTACTAAGGCCAGTTCTGCCGAGGTGCCCGCGCAAGTCACGTGACAAGGGTAACTGCGGAGGCGGAAGAAGCGCAGAATAAGATGACTAAGCTGAGAGATAAAAAGCTGGGGGAAAAATTTGCTGGTCTGCAGACGCACTAGACCGAGATAGGACTAGCGTAGGGCTGGATAGCCAAATCGGACGACGCTGGTTGGCTGGGCTGGTGAGTGGACTCCACGTGAGTCGGCGGCGATGGCGGCCGAGTGGTTTACGGGGAAACACGGTCCGTCATTCTCCGTCAAGGCGTTCACGGGCCACCGCTTGCGAAGAGCAAGGGTTCTTCCGGCGGCGGGCTCTTTATCTCCGTCGCGTTGCTACCTAGGTTGCCTCTTTGATTCAGCATTTGCCATTTGTAAAGACAGCGCACTCGCAGAGTACGTACCCTGTGCCTGAGCAAGCATCAAAATTAACCTGGGTGATTGTTTGACGATGATAGTAGATTGTGGCCTCCCTCTTGCTCTGGAAGTCTGAGATCTGGTCCAGGTGAATACGAAGCTTCACCAGGGTTTCAACTGTTGCAGATTGCCGTCGCTCCCACAGGGGTCACATCTTTGTGTGCCATGATTGATGACCCATAAATCATGATACAAATCTAACCTACAACACCTTCAACCTTGTAAGATCCTTAGGATGAAAACGTTCGATGTTTCTGTATCTGTACTCCGTACGGAGTAAACAATCCTAATGTCGAGTCAACAATGATGTAATCCAATACAAACAGATCAAACGCCAAGCGATTATCCTGTCGCTTACTAATTAACTTTATTCCCACAACGACGAAAGAAATTTTGTTGCTGATAACGGAGATATCAAGATCGATTAGACCAGCATCAAACATATATTCAAATACGTAATTTATATACTACAATAATGGGTTCAATTCGCCGGTCAAAGACAAAGCGCCGTACTAGGTATGCTCTACTCTCCGAGTCCGTTCGTTTCGTCTGATTCTAATCGCTGTCCAGGGACTACGACCAAGTCGTTGCTGACTTGCGTTCGCGCAAGCACCTCACGCAGTACCACAGCACAAAAGATGTCGAGGATCTTCCAGGCCTAGGGAAACATTACTGTGTCGAATGCGCCAAATGGTTTGAGAGTGAATACAACCTTGTCGCTCATAGAAAAGGAAAGAATCACAAGCGAAGGTCGGGCACTCTCCCTGGTTTGAACTGCTTGTCCGGGGCATGGACTAACATGTTCTTGACAGACTACGAATGCTTTTACATGAACCCCATACACAGAAGACAGCAGAGGCGGCCATTGGACTCGGAGTAGATAATGGAACGAAGTCAACCGATAGCAACGCCGCAATGGAGATTGAGACCGATGTGTGATGTATTCGTTTCTAGTAACACGGCTGAGAACGACCGAATGATTGCGTTGGTTATTGGATATGGCCCGCATGGATGAATTGTATATGCGGTGGTTGACCCCCCGTACGCGCGGACAGCAATTACCCGCTCGCGGGGTTGACGGAAGGGGAGTTGGCGGCGCGGGCAAAGTGAGATACGACGGAGTCGATTGCAGCCCCTGTCTCCCAATTAACTGGGTGAAAACGGGAAATATACCCTTTCGACAGGCCTTGAACAGGGAGGTATATTGAGGGCTACTTCTGGGTGGATGATATAATCTGAATTTTAGAGGGGAAATGATGGGTTCTATGTCTATACTGCTGCCATAGCTTGTCTTTCATTGAATACCTTCATCATCCATTCATATATTGCCCACTACAAAGGAGGTATGGTCAGCTCTGAATATGAGTTCTGTGGAGCAAAGAAAGCTTACCTGGACAGCGTTCACCCCAAAGGCTCGTAGGCTACATACCCCTAGCCCTCTATAAAACACCCGTAATCCGTCGGTCCGGTATGCTTCTTTACTTATTTCCCAGGCATCGAGTAGCCTGTGCCTTTCATGAAGCTTTCCTAGCAGTGACCCGCTCTCGACGGTAGCCAATGTAAAGGATTTCTGGGTTTGCAGTCTTGTCTTAATGACATCCAGAGGAAATACAGATGCCCAAGTCACTATACCAGCTATTCCGCCACATATGAGCGTTTTCAGTGCTATCTCGTGCGCTGTTTCGCCATTCCGCGAGGCCATGCGCTTGCATAGCTCGTATGACCAGAAACTACGCTGTTAGCATCCCCGGCGACTTGCATCCAGGGGAACAGGAAGTGTACATACTAAAATCCATATCCCACTGCATCTCTCACGCTTGTAATGCCTCCACCGAAATATAGCCCCTTCACTCCATTACTTCTAACAATACTTTTAGCAACTTCCCATGAGGATACTGCTTCGGCACCAGTGCCTCTATGCATCTGGCTTCGACATTTCACGATCTCCGTAGGTGAGGAAACCAGCCAGCTAACCATCCCTCCAACCGCCCCAGCAACCCATATTTGACCTAGGGTAGCCTCTAGAGGCTCTGTGGGGTTCTGCACTCGTGGCTCCAAAGTTGTCAAGCTGCGGTTGTAGCTAGTGAATAGTAGGGCGTTCAAGGCGCCATATGTTAGGACTGGAGCCGCGGCACCTATATGGAAATTGTTAGAGGATGTATCCCAAGGTGTACATGGGGTAAAGGTGTTGTACCTCGAACTAACGAGCTTTTCGACTCAAACTGACGGGAGTAGAATGCATTCGATCCTCTTACTCCAGCTGAATTAGCTTGAAGACGCACTTTGATTACATCAAGCGGGTTGCCAATGACTATCCCCACGGCTCCGCTGAGGTACCCAGCCCAGAAATCCGCAGACATTGATGCATTTCTCTATCAATAACAGCCTATTCACATGAGTATCTACAACTTCGCAATGTATTCCGGGGAGTGAGAATAATAGTAGCCCACTTAGTGGGATGTGCTGGTGGGGGACAAGATGCCGAGGTTAAATTTATGTCACGTGGAGCCGTGCCGATTTGGCGATTTGACGCGTTGAACTATCTTTAGAAAACCAAACAAACGCGTTCGAACGTCGACTTCATCACGACAACGACAAGGCAGCCATTTGGTCTATCACAGCTCTTTTTGGACGATTTGATGTACGTATCACTACTCTGAGATCAATGACTGACAAATGACTTACACTGTGTCTGTAGGCATCGACCCAAGTCTTCCGTCGCTGGATCGACACCCTCCAAAACTGGCCGCCTCTACACCGTTGGCCCCCAGGCTTCACAGGCTCTCTCAAAACCTTTCAAATGCCCCGGTTCAGAAACCCGTCGAACATCTGATAAGCCTGCCCGCAAGCGCCGTAAAGTGAACTATGCAGGCGCAGATTGTAGTGCCGAAGATGATGGCGCCAAACCATGGACAAATGAGGACAGACTCGCCCTCGCAAACCGTGACGCTAACCGCTTCCCAGTATTCAAAGTTAAAGATAAAGAAACCACCTTTCGCCAACGGTTTCACGTTCCTTTGATCGACAAGTCGAGTGGTAACTACAGTTCTGGTCGCTCTGCCCCGACTCTGGGAATGCGCTGTGGTGCTACTTTCGTCGTTAAACCTCTACATGATCCCAGCGGAGAGTTTGCAATCGTACTTTATGACCCAACTATCGATGATAGGCCGGATGACAAGGATGAAAGCAAAGACACTACTGGAAACAAGGAGGGTGAAGAGGTCGAGCAAAAGAAGTTGAATCAGCCACTAGTGCATAAAAGCCTTGCGGAAATATTGGGGATCAAGAAGAATGTTGACGAAAGACCCAAAGTACCCGTCGTTATCGATCCGAGGCTTGCAAAAATTTTACGACCGCATCAGATTGAGGGTGTAAAGGTATGTAAAGTAA